GCAGGCGGCGCGGGGCCGAGCGGGGCGGCGGGCATGGCGGCTCGGCGCTCCCCGCCCCTGCGCCCCGCCGCGCTGCCGTCGCCCCGCCCGCCGGCGGAAGCGCTCGGATCCCGGCCCGGCCCCCCAGGACCCCGCAGCGCCCCGCAGCTCCCCGCTCTCGGGCCGGGCCCAGATGAGCCCCGGGGTCGCGTCGCCATGGCAACGCGAGGCGGCGCCCCCCATTTTTTCTCCGAACTACAACCCCCGGCATGCAATGCGCGCGCCGCCGCCCCTCAGCCAATCGAGAGCCGGGCGGTGATAGCGCTGACCAGTAGCGCTCGGGGGGGGGCGGGCCGGTGAGGGCGTCGTGACCCGGATGTGGTTGCTGCGTGGACCCGGGCAACCCGTGGGCGTCCATGGAAGCGGCGGCGCGGCGGGGCCCGGCCCGATGAGCGCCCGTCGGGACCGAGCGAAGGGTGAGAATGACAGCCGGGTGCGGGGCGGGCCTCGGCCTGCTGAGCCCTCCTACAGCTCGAATGCTTCCGTCTGCTCGTAAAAGATTCCTTCTGGGGCTAGCTTTGCGTGGCTCTGCCTCCGGGCCGCAACGGCTGCACGAACGCGTTGATTATCCGCGTGTGTGGGCGGGGGGGCGGAGAGGAGGAATAAGAGCAGGTAGGCTGATCCTGACGGCTGTGTCTGGAGCTGCCCGGATGAATTGCTGCTTTTGGGCCTCACTCTGCGACAAGGCTGTGAGCGTGGGTTGAACGGAGGGCACTGGAGGCTCAGCTGTTGGCTGGGACCGTTCGTGTGCCCGAGTGAGTGCTGCGATCTGCTCAGCTCGTGGTGATGGGCTCTGAAGGAGCACGGCCTCAAATCTGTGTCTGTGGAGTTTAAGTTACATACTGAAGTAATTCTCTAGAGGTTAAAGATGGGACGTGGTAAATTAAGATCTGCTTTTAGCTTCCAAAATGCCCCCTGGGAACATGGGAGAGGCCAATTGGGTTGCTGAGAGAAGCTGGCTCGTCCCTAGGCAGAGCAGATTCAGCCCAGGGATTTCTCAAAAAGCAGTTTTGCGGTCTGGGAAAACTCTTTCTTCTTCCCATCTCTTATTTCAACCTTCCCTTATCTGTCTAAAAAGTGCCCAAAGCCAGGGCTCGTTTCTTCTGTAGGTGCTGGAAAGCCTGGGGGACTCAAACCTCTCTGTCAGCATCAGCCTCAGGTCTCTGATCAGTGTTGCAGTGGGGGAGTGCTGTGAGCAGGGCAGAGCTGTGCCTGCCTTGTCTGCCTTGTCTGTGGGGTGCCGTGAGCTGATGGTGTTGTGACCAACTGTGTATCTTCTTCCCCCTTGGCACTGAGGTGAGGGCTTTCAGTTTCTGGCTGCCTTACTGCTTTGTTCTCAGTCTGCATCCATGCTTGGTGACCCCCAGTGCACCTTGTTCTCCTCCACAGTTCCAGTGCTGAGTTTCCTGTGAGGCTCTGCCATGCACTGTGTGATGGGAAGTTTTGTTTCTGTCTGGATGCAGTTGCTCCATGTGATTTTTGTGTCGTTTTCTTCCTGCTGTCAGGTGCAGGGAGCTATGGAAGGAGGTGTTGTACGCATTGGTGACCAGATCATACTGGAAGAAGATTATGATGAGACATATGTTCCCAGTGAGCAAGGTAATAGATGCTCATCCTCCTAGGAGCTGCAATAAGCAATTCAAGCTTGCTATGTTATTTCAAGGAGCGTTAAGTAAATGGGAACTGGGGAGAGCATGATTCAGGAGAGTGGATAAAAGGAGATGTCGTGTAGAGTTGAAAAGCCAGCTTTTTGATTGCAAGGGTATTTGCCATCTTGCAGTCTCAAGCTCTCTGCTTCACCAGCTGGGGAAGACATGTTGATACGCTCGCTGACACACAGACCTGTTTGGGTGGTTTTGAGTGGTGGGATTTCCATTGTGTCCATTGCTTTAGCTGTGGAAGCTGGCTTTGTGTACTGCTTGGTGTAGACCATCTCTACAGATTCCTGTTTTGTTTCCCTAGAAATCCTGGATTTTGCGAGAGACATCGGCATTGACCCAAAGGAGGAGCCTGAGCTGATGTGGCTGGCCAGGGAAGGAATTGTGGCCCCATTACCACCCCAGTGGAAGCCCTGGTGAGAGAACCCTCTCAGAAGCTGGTTTACAAGATTGCTGGTCTCTGCTGGCCTTCTCTGCTTGTGTTTATGATTGTCAGAGCAGGGTATCAGCTGGCAAGGGGAAAAAATATACACAGGTACTTCTGGGTTCTTTTTGGGGCAGTTGAGGAAGAGGGAAAAAGGTTTCACAAGTTGAATGAAGATGTGACCATTCTCAAGAAGGGCTTTTGCACCACACTGAAGCCTCTGGGTTCTTGGAGGCCTTGTATTGCTGTTCACTGAATGTGAGGTGATCGTGTGGTGCATATTTTTAGAGCCTTTGAAAGCCCTTGAATGAGACCATGTCTGTGCAGAGCTAAAGTTGCTGTTGTGTTCTCACACTGTTTTTGCCACACAGCCAGGATGTCACTGGTGAGATTTACTATTTCAACTTCAACAACGGCCAGTCCACGTGGGACCACCCCTGTGATGACTATTACAGAGCGCTGGTCGCTCAGGAACGGAGGAAGCTGCTGGCACGTGGCAGCTTGAAAAAGAAAGAAAAGAAGAAGAAAGACAAAAAAGATAAGAAAGACAAGAAGGATAAGCAGTCACCGAAGCAGCACGCTGTAAGTAGGCTCTGCTGCACGCAGTGATTCTGGGGAGGAGCAAGAAGGCTGGCTGAGGATGAGTGGCTGTGGATTAGGGGGTAATGTTGTACTGTTGCTGCTTTGGGATGGAAAGAGCAATCACTTGACTGGGGATCCCGTCAGGCTATGAGTCTGATGAAAATCCAAGGGAAATGGGATCACACACCCAGAGGTGCACATTAAAGGTGCACACCTTTAGTGGCTCTTTCACAGCCCTGTGATGCTATTGGTGAAAAGCACCTGGGCCAAGGTGGCTGGTTCTGTGGATACTGGCCATTCTGAAGGAAAAGTAAAAAAAGTAACCATGTTAAGCTCTGGACCTGAGTTTGTTGCTTTATGACATACTTTCATTAGGGCAGAGAACATTTATTTATTTTGCATTTTGTGGAGAGAGGGAGGGAAACTGGACAACACTTCGTGTGCTGAGGGATTTTCTGGATTTTCTTTTGGAGAAGACAATAGAGGGTGTCTGTGCTTGTTGCTGTAGTATCCACACACGGGATGCAGGTAGGCTGGTCACTGTGCTTTTTGTAGCTGGAAGCATAGCCAAATGCCCTTTAGAATTCTAAGTGATGGAATTCATTCCTGCCTTCCTTCCATTAGCCTGTAAAGAGCTAAATATCAGTGGGGAAAGAGTTTTGTGTTGCCACTAAAAGCACAGGCATCTTTAACCTCAAGCCCTTAATATGATTATCTTTCTTTTATACACATACAGATCACTTCAAGTGCTCTAAAAATTTGCACACCGATTTATATACGTGACACATTTATTAGATATAAATCTGTACTTTAAGTAAGATAAGTTTGTATGTGTGTATATATATATATATATATATATATATATATATATATA